CCCCAAAACCCCAAAACCCCAAAACCCCTTTGGTCCATAATTTATACAAAGAGAAATTACATAATTAAAGAATTTATCGAAGCTTTGATAATAATTGTCATGAGCTAGCCACATAATCATCAATAAAAGTTGGATTCATCCAAGGCTGGCAAGATTTTACCACTGCAATCTCCAAAGCCAATAGTGAAGCCATTTCCTTTACATGAGCCTCTCATTATCAAAGTATCTCCATCTTATAGGAAAGTTCTCTATTCACCGTTTGGTAGACTGAGAGGTTCTTTGCCTCCCCAAGATATTTCCAGTAGAGAACCGTATCCACTCTTTTCTGTACTTGAGATTGTGCCAGATCCTAGTAAATCTCCAACATTCAAATTGCAGCCTGTTACAGTGTGATGGACTAGCTATTGATTAGTACTCCAGTACATATGTTTGAAGTTAGATTTTGAAATAGTATATGGCTCGGTAAGGGTATTGGTTGTGAGCAAAACATCTAATTCAACGTCGTAGGAATAATTATTCTCGTCTTTCAAATAATTGAGAGGAGCCGGCTCTTGTACTGGCAGCTTAATTTTGAATGGCTCGAGTGCCTCTGCAGTAATAACCCAAGGTGAAATAGTTGAGGCAAAATTTTTAGCATTGAATGGTCCAAGTGGAACATATTCCCAAGCTTAAATATCTCTTGCTGACCAATCATTCAAAAGGCAAAATCCAAATACGTAATCAGGAGCTTCTGAAATCTTCACTGGTTTCCCAAGTTAATTGGATTTGCCTACATATGCTCCAACTTCTAACTCAAAGTCAAGTCTCTTGCACTCAGAGAAGTTAGGATTCTTTTAATCTGCTGATGTCTGACCTCTTGGTCTCACAATTTCCTAGCCACTCAAAACTATTGAGCTTGCTCTGCCGTGATATCCAACTGGAAGATGAAGCCAGTTTGGTTGAAGAGCATTGTCTGGACCTCTGAACATAACTCCTACATTGTAGGCGTGATTCTTAGAGGAATAGAAATCAGTGTAATCTCTGATGAATACTGGAGTTTTCATTTATACCTGGTCATGATCGAACAAAGCTTTAGAAAGAATCTCCTCACTTATCTTGGTAGAACCTTCTGCAAATAAATTCTAGATAGTAACTCTTGCCTCATGCCAATAATCTTTTCCTAAATCCATGAAGCTGTTCAAGTGATGATGCTCAAAGACTACTTTAGGTCTTAACTGAGTGAATAATGGCCCATCGAAGAGTCCATTTTATTCTAGAATGGCAAGATCAACAACCTTGTCACCGATTCTAGTACAACAATGCACGTGGTTATGATGTGGATTCTGAAAAGCTCCAAATGGAATGTTCTCCAAAGGAAAATGGTTGTTCTCATCATATGGAATTAGAGACTTAAGTGCTGTGGAGCTGTTGCTACTGCTTTCTACCATTTAGGAAGATTTTAAAATCTAAAGATATTATATATTAATGAATCTATTAAGATTTATATCATTGAATAACCCACCTCGTATTTTTAATGAACTTTGACTTAATTATCTTCACAATCACTTTAAGTATTAACAAAAAAGAAACTGAAAATAGAAAGCAAAATTGTTATCTAAGCTTTACTCATCATTAAGGCTGACTATATAATAAAATCAAAGATAGGGATTTGTTAAATTTATATAATCTGTTAATCTTCTATTTTTATATAAAATAAGACAAACTCTATCTAAAAATAACTCATTTACTAGATTCATGCTTCAATATATTCTCATCTTGACATTCTTAAGCTTGATAATCTCACTTATACTCTTAGAAAGACTATCTCTATGCTCACCTAGCTCTCTTTAAAGAGGGTAAATATTTTCTGCAATTTAAGAACTGCAAAGTCCTGCTCCCACCTTGAGTGCTTTTTGAATTTAAACGCATCTCATCATGTCCATATTTTTCTCCTTCCCTTATTCGTTCAAAATTTCAACTTCATCTGGCATTACACTATAAATATTAAACTCATAGAAATAACTAACTCTTTCGTAGTTAACTTCGTGTCCTTTTTTGATAGCATAATCTTTTGCAGTGAAGCCTTGCTCATATTTCTCTTAAGCATTTTATCAATCATTTCATAAGTTTCCTTCTTGATGGTTTATGCCTAACTAATACTTGACTTCTTCTTCTTTTTGCCCTCATTTTATTCCAGAATAATCTTACTTGGATTTAGTGAATTGTTGTTTGCCTTCAATAGGCTTAATGCATTTTTGTTTGTGGTAGTGTTTGTATTATTAAGAGCCTTAGATGATGGCGAAATAAACTAGGATTTCAAATCCATATCTTAAAAAGAGAACTTAAAGTCACCGATCATTTTATTTGAGTTATCCTGTTCATAATCCTAGTCATCTCTTTCATCGTCATAATCATCATTATTTTCATCTATAATTGACTGATTTTGAATAGATTAATCCGCTGATTATCTCTTTCTTCTATTTCTTCTCCTCATTGCTAATTTGTTATCAATCTCGGGTAAGAAAGATCTGAACAGATCGTCTCTTGCCTTATCAGTATCTTTCTTTCTTTATTTCTAAAATATATAAACAACAACTTAAATTACAGTCGCAGCATAATTTCTCTCAGCAATTTTGAACTTTTCAAGAAGCTCTCCACAGAAAAATCTCGTCTTGTCAAGTAGATCGATAACTACTTTGATTCTTTATGGATCTTCAGCCTCCCTGTCATAGTTAGTTTGGATAATTTTATAAGCTGACTAGCAATTCTTAAAGATCTCATGAATTTCCCTCAGAGTCTCAAAATTTTCAATCAAGGCATCAATTTCATTGGTTATCATATCCTACTTCTTTAATAAATAGTCTGTATTCTTTATCCCTATTTTCTAAGGAGTGTCTCCAAATTCTTACAATACTGATTTTCCTATGATTATTATCATACCAATCATTATTTCCAGTCTTTTGTTGAAAATTAGCTGCTGCTCAGGAGTAACGTATTCAAAAAGCTATCTGATTTTTTAGTCCCCTCTTGAATTCAAATGGAATATAAATTGACCTATCTTGTCACTCAAGACACTCATTTAATCTTGTAATATCATGAATTAAGATTTTTAGTCTTTGTATACTCGCGGATCATATTTGATTATTCCCATGTTATATACATGGCCACTGAATTTATTTTCATTTTTGATCATTCTTTCTAGATTAATTTCAAATGTTCTTTTTCTTGTTTTTACTTATTATGCTAATATTGCTTGCTATTTACTCAATTTGAACAAATTAGCAACAGATCTGCTGTTGAAAGTAAAATTTAGCTTATTCTTCTAGATTGTTTGTTTTGAGTTTTACTATGGCGATTGATTGTAAGAAGCTTCCTCTATTTGAGTTGTGAATATATTTTTATACGCATTTCTGTTGCTTACCATGGATTAGTCTTCATTCATTTTTATTTTAGAAATATTTGGTAAGTGCAAAGACTGATCCCCCATTGGTGTGAGAGAGATACCATTGAGCTATATTGTATCTATTTAGCTCTTCAAATTTATATCGTCTTGCTCAGTATCAAATATGATTATTTTGTTCTAATAGTTTGTTTATCCATTTCTATTACTAATATTACCCTCATTATTTTATTAGGTACTAGCTTATGTGGAAAACAATTTATTATTTGCAGAGTTATTGATTTATAATACCTCTTCAAATTAGGTTAGAGTTTTTCTTTTTTACCTGTTCTATGTTTGGTCTCCCATTTAGATTTGCTCAGTGGAGAGTTTTACAGGTTCCAGTTTGAAAATCTAAAATTTAGGCTGGCTTTATACTTTAGGCAATGCTACTTTTGTTCCATCTTGATTAACATTTTACTTCTTATTTTTATTGCTCATTTGCTTGAAATCTTGCAGAAGATGGTTATTATTTATTGTGGAAGGTATATAAATCCCCGTCATCTGTAATTGAACTTATTCCATTAAATGAGTGCTAATTATTATATTTAAACCTATTTTCTCGAAATATTTGGAGTCAATTACCCCCTTGGGGTTTTGGGGTTTTGGGGTTTTGGGGTGATCGGAAGAGCACACGTCTGA